ACACTCGTAGCTGAATCTGTGCATATCTCAAGTTCCAAAGATAGAAATCCCGCATTTTCCAAATTGTCATATTTTGGGGTCATTGAACGTATTTGGGAGTTGGATTACTCATGCTTTCAAGTGTTTGTGTTTGGTTGCAAGTGGGTTGACAACAACAATGGCCTTCAAGTTGACCTTGGGTTCATGAAGGTCGATCTTAATAAAGTGGGGTATAAAGACGAGCCTTTTATTTTGGCATCACAAGCTCACCAAGTATTCTATGTCACTGATTCGGCCGATGAAAAATGGTCTATTGTGTTTCTAAGTAACAAAATAAATGATCAAAAAAACTCAAAGTATAGATGTTGAGGATGATCTTTTCTTTAATACATCACAATCCCTTGAGGATGAACTAATTGTAGATGATATTCTTTATATGAGAAACGATCACAATGATGGGATTTGGATCAACCCATCATTTGTTGTATCAAGAAAACACAAAAGTAGGAATCCAATTACAAGGAAGAGGAAAAGGCCGACTTGAAAATTTGTGGAATCACTTGAAAATTGTCTTTAATGTGAGTGAATAAAAATGTTGTTTAAGAATGATATAATACTAGCTATTACTGTATAAAATTGTCTTTAATTGTGTTTTATGTTTGTCTGAATTTGCATTAGTAACCGCAACCACAAATATAATACTAACTCTTACACTTTTTACAGGTTAAATATGGTTTCTACTAACGATGAAGGTGGTTCGTCTAGTACGAAAACAGTTGGTAAACGTGGTGTGACTCGGTTGCAAAAAATTCACAAAGCCAAAAGCAATGGAAAGAGGATTGAGGTAAAATAGCTAGATGATGATTATTGAGATTGATGAGACCTCTGATTGTCTTAGAATATTAGTGAGATTGATGATTATTTAATTGCACTCTAATTTTGTTATAGGTTCAATGGAATGCAAGAGGTCAACTAATCAAGCATAATAGCAAGAGTTTTGCTAGTTATATTGGTGTCACGGTTCGTCGGTTAGTTCCAATTAGTTTGGACAATTGGAGTGCGAAAGAAAATAAAGAGGCTGTAGGGGTTTATAAACAAAACATTTGGGATGAAATTGAAGTAACACACTAACTCAAGCTTGTTGTAAAATTTTAATTCCATAAGTTATCTGTTTGGATGTTTAAGTAACCTGAACAGTGTTTTAATAAATTGAGTTGTTTGCATAAAGCTTTTGTAATTGGCGAAGAACATCGTGCATATATATATAAAGAAGCTGGAAGGTTGCACAGGGCATTCAGGACAAAATTGGCAAAGTTCTATCTAAGAGATAGTAAGGGTGGTTTTGTTAAACATCGACCGACAAAATATTCTTACTGTATAAAACAAGAGGATTGGGATAAATTTGTAGCTCAGCGTCAGAATGAAAAATTTCAGGTAATAACTTGTCATTATTTATCTCTCCTCTTATGCCTATGTAATAGCCTCCGATACCGTACCGTCTGTAACGGATACTAGAGGGACAAACTGAATTAGATACCTTGTAAAATATTTCATATATGCTTTTGTTATTGTTTTAATAGTAAAATATTTCATATAGTGTTACTGTTTCATTAATTCTTTCTCTTCTCCTCTACACAACAATGTGAGAGACTTAAGGATTATATACCAAATTACTATTTTAGATACCTTATCAATGTGAGAGATGGTAAATGAGTCAAATTGATTATGCAGCACCACAACCTCATCATATAATCTCTCTAGTTCCAGGTGGTTGATATCCCAATTACCTAAAAACTGATGTTTGGAAAAGAAAAATGAATAGAAAGTGAATAGTAGTAATGGACAAATCTTAACAATAGTCACCATGTAATATTTTGTGAACAATATAGCTGTCTCTTGCAATATACTACTAATGCATACTATATAGTAGAACAAACCTGATTGATAACAATTTCAGACTTTCCTTGGACATCGATCTTCGTATGTCCTTTCTTTAACATTTGTGTCAGTCCTACAATTAATCCACGATACTCAGCAACGCTACCTGTTTGGTTTCCCAGCCCTTGGCGGAACATGTACCGCTATGGAGAAAAGAAAACATGAGTAAGCTACATGTTGTAAATAAATAATATAAAACATAATGAAACATTCAATTGAATTTGATACCACAGTTGAAGAAATGGGGATGTTTTTTCCTCACAGTTAACGAATCAGTAGCAGGACCTTTTCTTGCTCTTGATTTTCTACATAAATTCAACACTTGGTGTTCTTTTGGGCTTATACTTGGGCATGTTCCCGCATTTGAGGTCCTAAATCTTTTTGCAGGATTCTCCATTTTGGTTCTATCCTCTGTGCATAATTAATCATAACTCAAAGGTATAAAACAGTAACACTACTACTAATGTCTTATAGTGCTTTTAATGCAGAAAGTTAGTAGTGAAAATCGAGAAAGAGCGTTAAATCCTCAATATCCCTATAGAAAGTCACGTTTAGGGTGTGCTCGTCTTGAAGCTGATATGGTAAGTATGTGTATAAAAGTAGTGTACAAGATTATAAATTATTTTTTTTAATTGCTATGTTAATTTGTCAAAATGTATATACAGGTAGAAGAGTCGGGAGAAGATGAGATAAATCGCAGTCAAGTGTGGAAGGCTGCCTGCGTCAATAAGAATGGGGTGATTGATAATGAGAATGTTCAAAGAGTTGTGGATCAATGTGTAAGTCGAATGTTAATATTTTGGATCATTGAAAATATTTTGGATCTCGGTTAATCTTAATGAAAGTGTTCAAATTGATTTTCCTTTAACAAGTCTTTTATACTTATCGATGTCAGGAGAAGTTAACAAAAGCTATAACTGAAGAAGAGAGACAAGACCTTGGTCCTACGGACATATTATTCGAGGCTCTAAATCTCCCAAACTACTATGGGCGTATTAGGAGTTACGGTTTTGGGGTATGTTCTAGGGACATATTTCCACGCCAAATTCGCCCCACACAAATGGACTTTCAAAGATTGTATGGCTTTTGCAACACACTCAAAAGTAGATTGGAGGTGCTAGAGAGAGAGAAGCTGGAGAGAGATATGTTGGATAGAGAGAAGATAGAGAGGAAAAATACCGAAGAAGTGGCCAAGAAAGAACAACCTGAACAAGTGTAAAACAGCTTGCAACAGCCTGAAAAAGGGACATAGGGCTTGCAACAACTTGAAGATGTGGCAGAGAGGCAACAACCTGAACAAGTGTCAAAGAGCTTGCAACGGCCTGAAAAAGGGATACAGAGGCAAGAGTTAAGTGATAAAGGTTCTTGCAACCCTGGATCATTCGGTAATATTCCCGAGGTAATTCAAAGCAGTTCATATATGTTTGTTTTGTAAATAATGATATTAATGTTTTTATTCGTATCTCATTGGTTTATGGTCTCTGTTTTTATTCAGAGCTATAAGGCTCAGCTGTTTTCTATTTAATTAGCCGCCTCAGCAGTTTCTGTTGTTTTCCACTTAGCAGCCTCAGCAGTCTCTAGTCTGCATAATGTCGTAGTCTGTAGTCTGTAGTCTGTAGGACAAGATGTGTTCTTTTAATAATCAAGGGGGTTTTTGCAGCCTCAGCAGTCTCTAGTCTGTAGTCTGTAGGACAAGATGTGTTTTGAAAACTTGCAGGGTTATTAACATAAGAATTAACTTGAGAATCCGTTGAACCACCGTTGAAAAGTTGTTGATCTGAGTGTAACAGACCCTTTTTGTTTTGCAAGTTCTTAAAATAAGAATTACCGAATGTGTCTGATGCGGCAGCGTCAAGAAGTGACAAATTGTCGTCACTGCCTGTGGTAAATCCTGTGGTAACAGACCCTTTTTCAATGATGTTGCAAATGTCGAATCTATGTTGTCCTCGTTTATTGGAATATGAACATGTACTTTAACTAATAATATCATTACTCTCTTCTCTAACCGTTAATCATAATTATTACAAGTAAGTATAATATGTTGTCAATTATGCAGACACATTAACAATGTGCAATGTAGCCTTATAGCTCTTATAGCTCTGTAGCCTTATAGCTCTGTAGCCTTATAGCTCTTATAGTTCTGTAGCCTTATAATTTTAATGTGCAATGTAGCCTTATAGCTGTGTGAACTTTGCGCTACAGAACTACATTAACAATATCACCTTTTAAATGGAGAGTGGTACATAGCATAGTTGTGGTTGACAGAAACAATACTTTAAAATTTTATAAAACAGCCTCAGCACTGATCCACCCTGTACCTGTAATCTCTGACCACATAAAGATGATTAATGTACATGATATCATTGGAGAACTATTTTCAGAACATATGGGCCAAGATAGATATGAAAAACCATGATTTCAGAAGAAAATCTTTTGGCAATAGAAAAATGATCTTTGTGTCGGTACAGTCAAAGCAGTTCATATATGTTTATTTTGTAAATAATGATATTAATGTTTTTATTCGTATCTCATTGCAGGGTCTCCTTCCTGTTAATATATATTTATCATCCCCGAGTCGGTGTTTGGTTGCTCGTGGCAAACTATATAACACCAAAGGTAACACAGTGCACGACATGATGTTACCACCTGGATATGTCAAGGTTAATATCGAAGTTGCTATTGTGCCAAATGCTCAATTGCCTATATCTGTTGAGGGTGGTGATGTATCGATGGTTGGTCAGGCAATAGGAACAATTGTGCCATGGCCAATGAACTTTCTTGAATTTGTTGTTGAACGTGAAAAGGTAAATTACTTATTATTAACTTGCTTGATCGTTATTTGTTTTATTATTTGATCACTAACCTTAATTAATAAAAAATTTTAGAATCCTGATCAATCCCAAAACAACGTTAAGAATACCCAATGAATTGTTGATTCTGTTTCGTCACCTAACAAAAGCAACATAAAATTCAAAATTGAAGAGTCTCCTAGAGTTGGCGGTTCAACCAATCTTGTAAATTTACCTTTCCTTGATATGTATGTGAAAAAGATGATGAGGGTTGGATCGTTAATTCAAATAAAAATGGAGGAAAGTATATTTGGTGAGGAGTTTATAGAGCATCTACGTGTAGAGAGTATAAAAGAGATTCTTGATCACAATTGGTTAAGTGCCTCTGTTATCACTGTATTTTCCAGGTACCTCTATTATTACAAATTTCCTCTAATCTGGCAAATATATTAATATTTACATTGTTGACAAATATATTAATACCAATTATTGTTGTTCATTTCTAGGCATTTGTATGACAAGTTTATTAGTCCAAATGAATTAATAAATAAGTTCTCCTTCATATCCCCACATGTATCAAGGGAGGATAATCTAGGAAATGCTATAGCAAAAAAAATACTTCTGAAAGATGAGGAGTACTTCAAGGATAAGATGATTCTTGCACCTTGCAATCTAGGGTGAGTTTTCTATTCAAAATGTTATTAAATTTATGAGAAAAAACTATATAAGTATATTATATGCATCAATATTATATGTATTGCAATGGAAGGTGAAGTATCCAAGTTCTGAGTGTATTGCAATATTATATGTGTTGCAGGAAACATTGGGTACTACTTGTCATCAATCTCGATGCTGAGGTGATATATTACATGGATCCGTTGAATGGTGAACCAACTAAACATCAAAATTTAAAAACCAAGTTTGAGAAGTAAGTATAGACTCTTTTAATTTAACATTTATATAAGTATTCTTAGTTATAATAATTACTCATTTGAAGTTAATTTCATTTTGTTAGTGCATTGCAAATTTATCGTGCTAATAGTAACTCTAAAGTGCCTAAAGTCTCCAAGTCAAAGAAAATTTCATGGTCAAAAATTCGGGTATGTCCAAATTAACGTTATTTTAAAACAATTATGTAGAGTAAAAGTAATATATGTAAATGTTTTTTTTGCAGTGTCCCCGTCAAATTAATAGCATTGACTGTGGATATTTTGTAATGCGATTTATGAAAGAGGTCATCATGGAAAATGAAATTATGATCCCCATAAATGTACGTGATTTTAATTGTTAAAGCTTTGTAAATTAATGTAACTTAGTTCTAATACAATTGTTGATGTTTTTATATTTGAAGTACTTTCTTGACCACAAGTGTCGTACCTACTGTAAGGATAAGTTAACTGAGGTCAAAGATGATTGGGCTACCTATATGGTGGACGATATTTTCGGTAAGCCTACAATATATAGATACTTAATACCTTACTTGCATATTAAAAGTTTGAATTTGTTGTACCATTTTGATCACTTAAGGTGTTCATTTGAATCCTGTTGTTACCATTGAACTTGGTTAGGTAAAATGATGTTCTTTTTTAATTATATATTAATATTTTATTTTCAAGTTTTTGTTTTCTGATTATTGTACAATACATAATCAATATTCTTTCTATGATGCAGGGAAACAAGAAGCAATAATTTTGCCTAGCTAGCTAGCAAACTGGTTGTATCTTTGGATGTAGCAGTGTTTTGGTTGGCAAAGTGGTTACTAGCTAGTTGATGTTGTTTTTGTTGTCCTTTTCTTGTTTTTTTAGATGTTTTTTTCATTAGTTTAGAGAATATGCCTAGCTAAGTGATTGTACTTTTTGTTTGGAATTTGGTTTGAAGTACTCTTAGCCAAATTAATAACTACATGACAAAATACTTTAGTTGTGTTTATAAAATATTTTGGTTTGAAGTACTCTTAAGACAAATTAATGGTATCACATTTGTCATTATTATTTTAATTTCAAGTATTAGCTACTTAGTTATAATTATTTTATGAATTCTAATGTTGTAAAATGCAAATGTCATATATATATATATATATATATATATATATATATATATATATATATATATATATATATATATATATATATATATATATATATATATATATATATATATATATATATATATATATATATATATATATATATATATATATATATATATATATATATATATATATATATATATATATATATATATATATATATATATATATATATATATATATATATATATATATATATATATATATATATATATATATATATATATATATATATATATATATATATATATATATATATATATATATATATATATATATATATATATATATATATATATATATATATATATATATATATAATGATTTGGTGTAAAAAAAAAAGTGTATTAGAATAGCGTTTTGAAGAGAGCGTGCTATAATAGCGCTTTGTTAGAAAGTGCTATCAAAATTAAAGCAATTTACAGGTATTTCAATAGCGTTTTGTTTGGAAGTGCTATCGAATATGTGGATTATAATAGCACTTTGTTTGAAAGTGCTATTAAATATGTGTCTTATAATAGCGCTTTATTGGAAAGCGCTATTAAATATGTGTATTATAATAGCGCTTTGTTTGAAAGTGCTATCAAAATTAAAGCAAATTACCGGTGCTATAATAGCGCTTTGTTTGAAAGCACTATCAAATATGTGACTTATAATAGCGGTTTTGTAAAAGCGCTATTAAATACAGGTCCTATAATAGCGCTTTTGAAAAAGCGCTATTAATTACCAGAACTATAATAGCGCTTTTAAAGCGCTATTAAAAATTTTGTTTTACAATAGCGCCTTGATTAATAGCGCTTTAAAGCGCTATTAAAAAACAAAAAAAAAGCGCTATTAAAAAACTTTTTTGTAGTAGTGTACCTTTCCTTTGCATAACCGGCTTCCGAGCCCTTTATCTTGGTTGCGAGACCATCTTATCCATTTACTTCTTGGGGTTTTCTTGATGTTTTCCCTTTCTCTTTTAGGGTAAATAAAGTTTGATGGCGACTCTTCTGTTTTTCCATTTTTGCCTCTCCGTCGTTGCATTTTTTCGAGTAGCGACAATGTCTCTATAATAAGTTTTTGTTTTATAATTATCTAGTTTTATATGAGTTTATTTATTTAATAGGGAGAATTGACCTAGATGGAAATTAAGACTTAGCAGTGAATTACACATTTGATTAGTGAAATTTTGAGATTGTAATGATATTTCATGCGAGACAACAATAGCCTTATCAATTAGTTTAGTTTTCCATTCAATTATACTTTCTCCAATTGTGATTGTAATGATAATGAATCTCTCTTAGATGCATGGGAAATGTAGATTAAGGATCTAACCAAAGGCCGTAGTACCAAACGGAATGATAAAATCAATATCCATGATCATTAACATAACAATACTCCAATCATCAACAACAACCATACCGAACTAGCAACAACCCTCAAAACAATACTACTGACCACCTCACTAAAGACAACAATAAAGGAATCTAAATAATAACCATCAAAAACAAATTCAAAATAAAATCAACAACATTATCCAACATGAAAGCCTGGTCCTACAAAAATACCTTGAATCAGGTCATACAATCATCAAAAGAAAATTTCAAGAACATGCAATTGACTTAAGAAACAAATATCAAGAACATTGAAACATCTATCAGAAAATCTAAAGACACAAATTGAGAAAATTAAAAATAGTTGGCGGCCAAGTCAACCAACAATTATGAATGAAATTAAGTAGATAACCAAAATAAGAAGGAAAGATGATATGTTGTAAGTTGCAGAAGAAAAAGGCTTGTAAACATTACAAGGCCCAAGCATTATAGAAAACTATCAACCGAAAAGAATGAAGTAATGATTGATTGTGAGACGAAGGTAGAGAATATATGGTGAGTAGATTTGAAAATAGTGAGAAATTAAAAAAAAGAGGGTGGAGAAAATATGAGAGAATGAGAGAAAAGTAAAGGGAAAGATATTGTACCTCCTAAGTAATTACGATACCCATTTTTAAATAAAAAACTTATGAACAAATGACAGTCAAGGAAATTCTTAACCATGTTCAATAACTTGGAGGTAACCATATTAGTCTCTAAGGAAGTAAAAAAAATCTTGTCTTGTGATAAAATTCTAAAAGAAATCCTAACAAAGAATATAAAATTTCTAAGGAACGAGATAATTAACTTGGGAGAATGGTGTAGTGCATATTAGAATATTAATAGTAATTCATATTTATTTAGTTGTACTATTTTCTTAGCCCCTAATTTTGTTAGAGGGTATTTTAGTATTTTATCTTATTCTAGTAACCCTAGTTTTAGCTTATAAATAGGGTGACAATCATTGTAACTTTTAATCATGTTTTGTAGCCGTCATTCTTAATAGAATATTTCCTTTGTTCATCATTTATTCACCTTTGCACCAACAATTGGTATCTAGAGCTCCGGTTCGGATTCATTGGGAAACACGGGAAACACGGGTGAACGTGAGGTCTTGTGTGTTTGATTTTGATTCTTAGATTCGTGTTGAATCTTGAACAAAATCTGATCAGAATTTTATTTTGTGGGTTGGGAAACACTGTGTGAGAAATCTGAGTGTATTGTGCAAGGTGAAGATGAACGGAAACGGCAACATGAACACCAAGCTTCCAGTATTTAACGGTAAAACCTGGAATCGTTGGATGATCCAAATGCGTGTACTGTTTGGTGCTCAAGATGTTTTAGATCTTGTCACTGATGGTTATGTTTCGGTAGCAGTAGATGCAACGGATGAACAGAAAAACGCGCAGAAGGAAGTAAGAAAGAAGGATCAGAAAGCATTATTCTTTATTCATCAATGTGTTTATGTAAATGTGTTTGAGAAGATTGCAGATTCAACGACAGCAAAGGCTGCGTGGGACACACTGGTTAGATGTTATGGTGGTGACGCATCAATGAAGAAGGTGAAGCTTCAGTCCTTGAGAAAGCAATATGAGAATCTCAACATGAAGTACAATGAGAAAATTTCTGAATACATCTCCAGAGTGATTCTGATCACTAATGAGATGAAGGCGTGTGGAGAAACTCTTTCTGAAGAAACAATCATGGAGAAGGTATTGAGATCCCTTACCTCTCAATTTGATTACATTGTGGTAGCAATAGAACATTCCAAAGATCTGAGTATCATGAGAATTGAAGAGTTGTAAAGCAGTTTAGAAGCGCAAGAGTTGCGTTTGACTGAGAGAACTTCTGAAAGGGAAGTAGAGCAGCAGGCTCTAAAAGCAACTTCTGATAGGAGGTATCAGAAGCAGTCAGAAGCCAGGAGAAGATCTAATGGTGGTCAGAAGTCAGAAAGCTCAACCTCTGATAGACAAAAAAATGCTCAGAAGGGAAAAGAGAAGTATGACAAGAAGAAGATCCAATGTTACTGTTGTAAGAAGTTTGGTCACTTTGCTAGAGATTGTTGGTCAAACAAGGAGAGAAAATCAGAAGAAGCAAATATAGCCAGAAGTTCTGATGACGAATCTGTGCTATTGATGGCCTCTGAATCTGATAATATGGATCTGATAGACTGGTGGTATATGGATACTGGCTGTTCAAATCATCTTACTGGAAACAAGAAATGGCCGGTTGACTTTGACTCTGAAAAGAGAACAAAGATCAGATGTGCTGATGACAAATATCTTAATGCAGAAGGTATGGAAAATGTCAGAGTGATTCTGAACAATGGGAAAACAGCATTGATTCAGAACGTGTGGTATGTACCTGGCATCAGAAGCAATCTGATGAGTGTGGGACAGTTAATTGAGAAAGGTTTTTCAGTTACCATGAAGGACAATCTTCTGAAGCTGTATGACTACAATCAGAAGTTGATTATGGAGTCAGAACAAGGAAGGAATAGAACATTCAAGGTGAATGTCAGAACTACAGACTCAGAATGTCTTAGTGCAACATGTGCTGAGAAGGAGAGTGAGTTGTGGCACAGAAGATTTGGTCATTTGAATTTCAGAAGCTTAAAACATCTGAATTCAAAGAAGTTGGTACATGGAATTCCTGCAATTAAGAAGCCTTAAAAATCATGCAAAGTTTGTATGGAAGGAAAACAACCACGATTGCCATTTGCGTCAGAAGCTGCTCCAAGAGCAAAACATGCCTTGGGAGTTGTACATTCTGATGTGTGTGGTCCATTTCCAGTAGCATCAATTGGATGGAATAAGTACTTTGTGTTGTTTGTTGATGAATTCACAAGAATGACATGGGTATCCCTTATTAAATTTAAACATGAGGTGTTTGATGAATTCAAGAAATTCAGAATGAAGGCTGAGAATCAGAGTGGTCAGAAGTTGAAGATTCTTAGAACTGACGGTGGAGGTGAGTATAACTCCAAAGAGTTCCAGAAGTTCTGTGAGGAGAATGGAATTGAGCATGAGGTTACTGCTCCTTATACCCCTCAACACAATGGTCTTGCTGAAAGAAGAAACCGTACTTTGCTTGATATGGTGAGAAGCATGCTAAAGGAGAAGAAGCTTCCTCATAAGCTCTGGGGAGAAGCTGTTGCCACTGCAACGTATGTACTCAACAGGTGTCCTACGAAGAAGTTGAAGGAAATAGTTCCAATATAGAAGTGGACTGGAGATAAGCAAAGTGTTAGTCATCTGAA